AAGACGATTAAATCCCAACTTGGTTTTAAATTTAGAAAATCATAAATACACTTACCAAAGTACACTGTTAGCGAAAATCCCTTCCGACCCGTCAAACAGGGTGAAATTAACCCTTAAACTTCAAAATAAATAATTACCCTATGAAGACGATTAGATCCCATTTTGGTTTTAAATTTAAAAAATCATAAATACACTAACCAAAGTACACTGTTAGTGAAAATCCCTTCCGACCCGTCAAACAGGGTGAAATTAACCCTTCAACATTAAAATAAATAATTATCCTATGAAGACGATTAAATCCCAACTTTGTTGACCTTGATTTTTACTAAAACTTTCATGTTGATGTCGCTTTTCATTTTTGATTTTTTTTTTAATTTCAATCCCCCTTAAATCCCCCCTATTTAATCAGATTTTTTTATGATGATAGGGCTTCTTCTCCTTTTAGAGATTCATGTTTGCTAAAAATTTTTTGTGAGCGGCGCGCCAATTAATGTGTTCTTTGACAGTTTGCAGGATCTGTTGGCGGGTTGTCATTCCTTTTTAGCTATATGCATTCGGCATATCGTCTCACTCGTGTTAGGCTCACTCATCATAATGCGCCACAGACACAGTATATTTAGGTATACTGTGACACAGAGACGCGATCAGCCAGAGGACAATGATGTACAAAAAATATAGATTAACACGTATGAAAATAAAAATATTAAAATTAAATTTATATTTTTGTTATTTATGTAATATTAAAATAATGTGTTTTTATGAAATTTAACTAGGTGTTCACTGTACAAATGAACCAATTAGAAACCGCTCCTGTTCATAATATATTACGCCAATTTTGGCGTTTGTTTGTCCTTCTATAATATTCACTTATTTTAAAAGCAAAAACTCTTTTTAAAATCGTTGACATCAAAAAGAGAAAATATGCATTTATATCTTAAATTTAGCAACAACAAAATATGATAACATCATTCAACAGCAGCCATCATGAAATTCGGACCAATCAAAGCAGGATAGTAACAAAACACTTTGGCTCTGTTCCCTCAGTTTTTAAAATATTATTTGTATAAGAATATCTTTTTGAGTTTCAGTCAATATATATAGACCGAAATAATTCTGAATTTCATTCTCTTAAACCAATAGTATAAATTACGAATAAGAGGCATTCGTAAGTATTGTAAACATCGCAAAATACTATTATACGTTAAATGGTGTAAATTAATATATTTTATATATTTGTACAAAATTAAATATTAAGTCATCTTCTTGCTTTATTTATTCTATGCTAAAAAGAGGGCATCCAAGGAAATATCTTTCTGTAAACAATTATACAGTCTACAAATTATCAGATCACTACAACAGCAGACAGCAACAAAATCAGGAAAAACTTGTAAGTAAAACTATTTTCTTCACGTTTTATTCACAGATAAGTCAGAAAACATGTAACTTATTAATATAATATGAAACATTTGTTAAATACATTATTTATAAGGCTGATTTATAGATTTTATTATATTAGTAGCTTAGTTGATATTCTTTGCAAAATGAATTATTTTATAAAATATAATATATACCTACTATACAAATATAATTCTTCTACCCAATTTTTTTCTAATCAAACTATGTTTTAAATATATTGAAACATTGCAAATTATATATTAAAAACAAAATTATCTCATGTAATAAAATTTCTCCCTTCGCACCAACCGAGCAACACTAAATTTAAGTTCGATCCTATATGTACCCTTATTCCGTATCTGCCCAGATTTCAATACTAGGTAGACGAGGAAGGCAACAGCACCCATCCTTCGGTACGAACACGGAACGTCTTGAGAGGGGATATCGTAATCATATTTTTCAATCATTTTTATATCCGAAATTACTTTGCTATTTTAATGATTACGGCTTTATATTAGGTTCAATTTTAAAAATTATTTTTTAATCTTATTAAGAAAAAGATTTTCTACAAGTTGACATTAATCGTTCGAAAAATAATGCACGTTTGATAATGTTAATTTTCTCTTAAAAGTTGTCCTTTTTTAAACAAAATTAATAAACTTTATAATTTTTTGTAGACAAAACGGACCATTTTTTTAAAAAAGTATGAAAACTCAGGGCTAGTGCCACTTATTATCTTTTCACATAAATAAATATATGGTATTATCTTTGAAACTGTGTCTTCTAGGATTAAAACAGAATGCCTATTTTTAATACAAATTTCCTGCTATTGTCATCGGAGCAATAACTCTTAAAGCATTTTGATTTTCGGCTCCAATATAGTTTTAAATTTATAAAAAATGGTTCATTACTGCATTCTAGAGTAATTTTATGTACAGTAGATAATTATAACAGTGAATGCTGGAGAGGAAAATCATAAATTTTTGTATTGTTCAACGTGATTGTACTTTTAAAAAACTTTTTATTTAACCATACAATAGTTTTATTTAATACTTTACTAATTTAAAAATTTGCCAATTATCTTTTAGTTGAAAGCCATTTTTCCAAATATTTGGATATTTAACATAGTGAAAACAAGCATAGTATACTACTAAATGATATTGTAACGTCTGTTTAATTTATTTATAGTTTATTTATTTAAAACACATTATTAATAATTAATTTATACCGTACTGATTGATTTATATTATACTTAGGCACTATTATAACTTACAGTTTTAATATATTTATTACAATTTATCGTTTCTATCCAACACTTAAATTGAATCTTCTCGTCCGTCGACAAACTCGCGCTATTTTTATATAAAGCCAGCTCTGTACCAGATCTTTCTTGGCTTTCCAGAACGATCGAATACTGCCTCTTTAGCTTCTCGAAGCATTGCGTTTGTCACTAGGAATACAAAGTTTGGAGAAGGTTTCACATCACAATATAGACATTCTAAATATATAAAAATACCAGGTGATTCATTAAGGGTGGCGACCGGCCGTATCTCAAAAAATGTTGGAAGTCATTTTTTTTAAAGAAACGCAAACCAGATTTATTCTGATTTCAACAGTGGACACCTTTCTATAATACATTAACATTAACCTAGATATCTCAATATTATACTTGCAATATAATAAATTTAGTAATATTGCATTCTTTTTTCCTTTTTAGCTTCTTTTTGATTTAGTTAACATAATGTTACGTAGTGTGTTAAATTACTAATAAAATTACCTTTAAAATGAAGTGTCACACTTTACCATAGGCGATCATGATAGTTGAGGATATTATAGAAAGTTGTCCCCATTGAATATAAAATCGAACTATTTTTGCGTTTGTTTCAAAGATACGGCCCGTCGCCATCCTTAATGAATCACCCTGTATATTACAGAAAAATCTACAAAAGACTCCATTCACGTGTTAACCGCTGGCGACTACGAATTTTTAGAAAAAAAATTCCATCAGAAGGGGGATTTTATAGATCCGAGAAAATCTTTAGACACTGTTGACAATTCTATAATATTAGATTCTTTGGAAGATACAGATATAACGAGTGGTCGAAAAGCTACTTGAAAAGTATAAAATAAAAAGTTAAAATAGAAAATCAGAGTGCCTCAGGGAACGGTGTTTGCATACTTTCCATAGTATATTTAAACAATTTATTTTTACAGAAATATAGCTTTGCAGATTACACTATTACTTATACAGGGTGGTAAAAAAAAGTGTCACAAAATAAAACGGGGGGTAGTATGGGCCAAAATATGCAGAAAAGTCCTAATAAACATATGTCCGCAAATGAATGGTTTCAGAGATACGGAGTGTTTTGTGTTTTGTATCATTTTTTGATTATCTTTTTTCATTCTCAAAAACTTGCTTTTCTTATCGGAGTCTACCGATGTTTTTTCATAGATACTATTTGCAGTTATTTTGTTGTGGGTGAATAATTTTATAAATTTTCGTTATGCCTGTTTACACTAATATTGAATTAATTAGCTGACATGCATTTTATGTACGGTCGTGCAAATGGCAATGCGAGGGAAGCGCTACGTCAGTATTTGAACATTTCATTTAACTCTATGTTGTTATTGATTGTTTATAAATATCATTGTTTTTTTATAATAATAAAAAATTGTTATAAACATAAAATGGTCCGTATCTCCGAAACCGTTAATTTGCGGTCATATATTTATTAAGACTTTTCTGCTTATTTTGGGTCATACTATTCACCATTTCATTTTGTGACACTTTTTTTTAACACCCTGTATATTATAAAAGTAACAACTTGTAATATCTCAAAATAAAGATTGAAAATTATTTACCAATTTAAAAAAATGGTTTTATAAAAAATGGCTATCAATTATTGATTTCGAAAAAACAATGTATTTACCGTTTAGTAATCGAGAAACTTCCTTGTCTGAAATTAACTTATTCAAAATTATTTTGTCATAAAACCTGTTGGTAAAATAAAATATTTAGGTGTATACACAGACAGTCAACTTATATGAGATTATCTGTTAAAAACTGTGCTGTGTTTTGTTTAAATTTAGGCCAGTATTGGTATTTTTAGATAACAAATAAAAAAATATACAAAAGGTTGGTGTAACTGCATCTGAACTATAAAATCATTGAATAGGGAATGGAACCCCAAAAACAATATTTATGAGTATGTAACAACAAAAAAATAGGTTATATTCAAGTGGTTTTTTATAAAGGTTATTCAGAAGTATTAAATTATTAAACAGTTATGCTGCATTCAATCTATTAGAAAAGTTGTAAGCAAATCTGAACTTAATACCTTAAAATAGCAATATACAAGACCATTTTAAAAAAATTAAAAATAAAGCAATACAAAAGGTTACACATACCTAGCACCAAACATTTTTAATATCTGATCTGATACTATGAAAAATTAAACTTTTTTAAAAAAATTTAAAAACAAAAGTTTTCTTTCAACAAATAAAAAGAAAATATCTGCAAAATTTAATAAGAAACTGGTAAATAAAATATATAAAAATTTATTTTACTTTAATTTATTTACTTATTAAAATTTAAAAAATCGTAGAAGAAACAGAAGAAAAAGGAGAAGAAGAAAAAGAAGAAGAGGAAGAAGAAGAGGAAGAAGAAAAAGAAAAAGAAGAAAAAGAAGAAAAAGAAAGAAGAAAAGGAAGAAGAAAAAGAAGAAGACGAAAAACAAGAAGAAGACGAAGAAGACGAAGAAGAAGAAAAAGAAGAAAAAGAAGAAGAAGAAGAAAAAGAAGAAGAAAAAGAAGAAGAAAAAGAAGTAGAAGAAGAAGAGGAAAAATAAGATGATTATTCTATATTTCTATGCATTTTTAAATGTTTTCTACAGAAGATAAAAATATATATTTAATTTTTTTTTATTTTTTGGTGGAGAAATATTATTATTAAAATATTATTATATAATTAAATAAACTTTTAAATAATTACCCATTTAAATAACTAGAAACCATCATTAGTTTTCATAAATGTCAAATGCCTTTTGCAGAATGACAGAGCTCATTTATCTGTTTACTAGTTGTTCCTTACTTTTAATAACAATAATACAAATTTGACAGTGCCTTCAAATTTTCATTACAACTAGACAAATCATCCTTGATGTGACTGACAAGCAGCTTAAGTGTCCAATGCCTCGGTTCTAGATCATCTAGAATTATAGCAATTTCCCGTTACCATCAGATTTCTTTTGATGCCTTACAATACTTAAATAAATAGTAGAATTTGTACCTTATTAATTCTAAAATACGATTAATCTAATTATTGAGTTTATTGTATTTTTTTTTAACAAAAGAATTATTCAGTAAATATATATTTGCAAATAATCAAATATACAGTTTTGAAATTAACAATGTATGTTTATTTTAGAATCTGACAGGTTTTGATCGTATACAATACTTGTCCATTTCTATCTGCCGGTAGGGAATTATATCAAAATAGCCTAACAAACTGCGTGACCAAGATTGGATATTAAACGCGGCTAACTGTACAAATAAATTAAAAAATATCTAAATTAGATTAGTCGGCGATTTGACGGCTTTCGTCATCACACAACTAATTAACCGGCATAATATGTTTATGATATAGGTGAAGAAACAACGTTTGGTCGCCTTATAAACCTATCAAATTTTCGTATATTCGAGTCATGATGTTGCTGCTACCAAAAAATTTTTAAATACTCGAAAATTAAGGTTCAGTGGATCACATAAGAACTATAAATTTTCGATTGAACTATTATCTAAATTTTAAAGGTATTATTAACGTATTATTAATAAACATTTTTGATTATTTTGCACTACGCTTTTCCCCAGCAATTAAATTAGGATTTTAGCATTTTCTTCATTATTTTCATTATCGTCATTAAATATTTTCTTCCCTTCTACGGAAAATGTTATAAATAAGTCATTGTCCACAATTAATAGAATTATACGTTACAGATAAAGGGGCCATTTAGAATATAGTAGGAATAAGTTAACTTGGAACTAAAAGAAATCAAAGAAGGAGCACCGCAAGAAAGTTTATAGGGATCTCTTCTATTTTAACTAAACACCAGTAATATGCCGAAACAAGTCACCTTTTCAAATGACAGTACCATTTAGGCAGTAGGAGAAGATCACAAAGATGCAGCTAGAAAGTTGCAAAATTCCCTTTATAAAATCAGTAGTTGAGTAGAATGTTAGCACTAATTAAGCAAAATAAAATGAAACTAAAACTAAAACTGTACACTTTACAAATTACTATCTTCCAGTTAGAATAAATAATGAGTGCTGATGAGTCCATATCAAAATAGAACAAAGCTATTACCAAGATATAAGTAAATAAATGGGAAAATTCCACACCTGTAATTTTGAACCAATCAAAATACGTGTTTTTGACAGATCACCATGGCAACGAAGGTATTTTAGTGGAAATTTTTTTTACCGTGGGGTACCCAGCAGCGAATTATACTAGAAATTTTTTGACGTTTACAATAACAGACCATTTTTGACAGACTGGTTTTTATTTGTTCACATAATAGGTTTAGTTTTGATACATTTTAGTTACAATGCTAAGGTGTTTTATATATTCTTCGGCCACTTCTTTTCTTCTTAATGGCGAAAATGCAGGACTTTGGATGCTTTGAATTATGTGTCTATGTCTAATAAAATATATATAATATTTAGACACTAATTTATTCACCTTTTTTCCATTCAGCACTTTGAATTTTGCGTAGTTTAGGTGCAAATATTCGTGGACAATTCGGAACAAATTTTCGTTTTTCAAGTTGGAGCCACAATCCTTTATTAATCCGAGTAAGTAAGTCATGGTGCAATGATTGATCATTACATCAGACAATTTCACGCATATTTTGCATAGCGTATGATTTTCAAATCGATTCATTTTTAAACAAATAGGTAATTTTGTTGGTTTTACTTGCTGTGCAATATTCTTTATCGCAACAAAACGCGAGTTATTTAATGTTTTGAACTGTCAAAATACAATGATCACAGCCTCCTACGATTGATGCTTGCTGACGCTGATTATGAATTTCATACCATTTTAAAGCGCTCATAACGCATGTTAATAAAAACGCAGAAAAACAATTTTCTACCACTTGTAGTTATTTAAAACTTACGTAAAATTAAAGAATATACTATTTTCTATTTTCAAATGGTATTCCCATGCAACTACAATGAGTAGAAATAAGCAATTTGAAGGCCTAAATAATTGCAGCGAAACATTTTTTTACGTCGGGCCGCTTGACAACTTCAAAACTGAAATTATATTCGAGGTTAGGGTCTCACTTAGTTACCATGACAACTCAACAATCAAGGCGACAACACCTTTTATGTTTCACTGGTGACTTGGAGAAAATAATTTGCATTGTTGAGAAACGAAAAATAAATTTTAAAAATATTTAATTTTCAACCATAATTCGGCGTGGAATTTTCTTACTGAATACCACGCGAGGTCAAATTAATATCAGGAAATTTTTTCTCGCTCATGAATATTTTTAGAAAATTTTCATGAGCTCGAAAAAATTTCCGGAAATAATTTGACCTCTAGTGGTATTACTAGTGAGAATTATATTCATTTTTAAAGGAAAATTCCAAACAAATTTATGATACTGCGGCCAACAAAAAGAGTCGATTCCGAAAATATACCAACTTTACTATTACAAATCGAAGGTGTACCTAATCCACGCTCTATTTTTTCCTCTACCTTGGTTGCAATTTTTTCGAAATATTTTATAATTAGTAGAACACTTTTTAAATCTAAAAAAATCAACCTCAAAATCGATTATCTTTATACAACCGTATCTAACAAATATTCGCAAATTACAAATAAGATGAAAATGGAAGGAATCTCATGAAGCTCTGAAGCAAGGTAAGCTGGTCGTAGTAAAAGAGGATCGATCATCTATCAGCAACTACATTAAGAAAGTTGTCACCATCATAATATATGCAAGGAAAAATTAACGAGGCCAGTTCCAAAGCTATGTCCTTTACCAATTGAAAGCTGACCTTTCAAGCCGGGGACATATTAGATTGTTTTACAATCTCATCCGTAGATATCTCAGTTCCTCGTATTGATTTTCTTTGTTTGCAGCTGCAACATCTCAATTGCCGTATTAATTTTGCAGTTATTTACCATCCTCCAGAGACACCTGTTGCTACTGACTCGGCTTGGCTAGACAAACTCGATGTCTAAAAATCTGATTATAGTAGGTGATTTCAATTTTCCAGACATTAAATGGCCACTAACTTCTATACCTGACACGCAGAATGTTACCAATCAGTTCATGGATTTTATCCGCCATTCTAAGTTTGTTTAACTAATAACTGAACCAAAGAAATTTAGAATAAATCAGAAACCTTCTACCCTCGATCTACTACTTACCAATGATGAACAACTCTTAACCCCACCGGTGTATCCATCGAGATAGAATAAAGTAGAGACGACATGAACACTATTTTGCGATATGATAAAATGAACGCACTTCAAGTGACGGAAAAGTGTAATGAAAATAGCGACTTGAGTCGTACTTTGATTTATTTAAAATCAATAATTTTATATTTAAAGACTGACGAAATTAAATTAATTTTATATCAATATATGAAGCTATTTAATTAAAAATTGTATTTATTCTCACCAAAACTGACCAGCTACACTATCTCGAATTTGACATTGACGTAAAAATGTAATACAAAGGTGCGGACAATTTAGCATCGTCATACCATCTCTTATTTATTCTATCTCAATGGGTGTATCTCAGACCAGTTGGAATATCTGATCATGCAGTCATAACGTGTCCTTTACAATTTCAATCATTCTCTTCTTGCACATCCAATCACACTATCTTCTTACTCACAAACTTTGCTAAAGTTTTTTCCTATCTAGACCAACTAGACTGGATTTATATTATTCCTGAAAATAATGAAAATAAATAGAAAAACAAATCTGAAACCCTGGATAAATAATCAACTGCTGTCTATGGTAAAACATAAAATATACCTATGGAAAAATTTTAAGTGAACCACCAACATAAACGATTTTTTCTGCTCATCGACTATTCTCCAATCAACTAAAGGTCACAGGTATTGAAGCAAATCATAACTATCAGGAATATATCGTCAACTGCGCAGATAGCAAGAAGTTCTGACATCCAAAGTGTCCGTACCTCTTCTACAAAAAGAAAACGGAGATAAGTGTGCTAATAATACTGAATCTGCTCAACTTCTTTCTAACACCTTTTGTAATGTCTTCACCCCTGAAGATCTGATATCATCACTTCCAGATATTTCACTAAACAGAATATAGGCCTCTATTTCCAACGAATCGTTTGGCCCACTTAATAAAAGACAAACTTAAAATGCTTAAGTCCAACTCCTCGCCAGGCTTAGATGGTAAGTTCTCTTTTAATTTTAATAAAATTACTCCTTGATCATCTCTCATCAAGTTAAAATTATAGTGATGTGCTTATATCCTAAAAAAAATGTAATGCAAAACAACGCATTTTAAGGCGACCAATGCACCTTTTACTTAGGCTACGAGCTCTTCTAAGTGTCATGTTCTAAATAATTTCAGGATTGTCTGGAAGATAATCTGAAACTGGTATTGAAGTCAAGTCTTAAGGCATACCTACCCACTGTCTCGATAATTAATAAAAACTTGCTGCACAAAATTCTAATGAAAACTTTTCCAACAAACGCAAATTTCAATTTTAAGAATTGGGCACAAACTCTGCGTGATTTTACATATTTTTTGGTTAACTTTAGCTGCCATCTTTCGGTAGTCTTTCTTAACGAT